CTTCACAAAATGCTACTAAAACGGAAAAAAATTTTCAAAGCCTAGAAAATTTTAACAATTAACCTTTTCAGCAAGCATCAACATGATCCAATTCGTAGCAATTCACCATCCAAAATCAATTCAAAACTAAAGAACGATTATGAAAGATTGGATTTTGAAAAAATTTTCAAAAACGAAGCAAACACTAGAGCAACAAATAAGCAAGCAATAAAGACCCCTTCCCTACACTTGAACTTGGTAGTGTCCTCACTATCAAAAGGGAAAAGGGACAAGAAAAGCAGGAACCACAGATTAAAAGAAACACAACCCATTAACTGAAATAAAGTCTTAATACATCAAAAGTAAAGCTTTAAGTACAAAGTTTACAACAAGGGGAAACATAAACAACAGAAAAACAAAAGACTCTCAGTAGCAAAAACTTAATCTTCCTCCTCTCTTCTTTCCTCTTCTGCTTCGACATTCCCTCCTCCCATTTTAGCAGCAGCAGCTGTGGCACCAGAGGATTGTCCTCGACCCTCATTAAGGTAGCTTGTGGTAAGATTGGAACTCTACTAAAAGGCTTGCTCATAGCCTAGAGGAAAAGTGACATTTTGAGCTTTAGCTATTTCCAGCATCAAAAGATCCATGAATCTCTGCCTTCTGCACTTATTAGCCATGGCAACAGCCCTTTACTCTTGGAGTTCCTTGCTCAAATTAGTCACTTGTTGGCTAAGAGTGGCAATTTGCTCACTCAAGGGGGTGAGGGTAAAACTAGAGCCACCCTCAACTGCCTCCCCTTTAGGCTCCTCCTCTACTACTCTCTTTTCTCTTTTTCTACTTATGTTAGTCTTCGAGACAATATAGCATCTAGTAGTGGTGCGCTCTAGGGTCAGGTCAGTTTTGAGTGTTGATATCCCCTTTGCAGTGCATAGATCAGTGATTAAATATGGGAATACCAAAAGGGTCCGGACATTATTAACACAATGTGAAATCTAGTTAAGGGCTATGATAGGAATATCAACCAGCTGCTTGGTCATTAGAAGATACAGTAGAAGAACGCCCTCTTCAGAGACATCAGAGATATGAGCTACTAGCATCACATTGTAAGACATGAAGTTCAGCCAAATCCTGGCCTCATTCTTCATGTTCTTACGCTCAAAGCAGTTCCTCCTATTCTTCTTAACGATCCAGTGAGCTCCCTTAACTCTTACAGTTTGAAAGACTTCACCCCAAGGGACTTCGTCTAGTCTAGTCTTAAAACTCTGGAACTTGCTATGGGGAACATTAGGTAGCTTGTAGAAAGACTCAACCATAGCCTGATTAAAATAACGCACCTTCCTTCTAAAGTTAATCCACATGCGCCTCTCTAAAGCACAACAAGTATAAAACTCCCTCACCAGTGTCAATTTGACCTTATTCCTCTTTTTCATAAGATCCCCAAAACCTAGCTCTATAGCAAGCCTATAAAAGTTGTACTCATTGATTTTCGAAAAATGCGTTTCTTGTATTACCCCCTATTTGCAAACATGCTCACTACTTCTGTCGTTGTGAGCTAGAGCTTATCATGGGAGTAATCCCTTCTGGAAGTATCTGGGTTCTTTGTTCCATCTGAGCATAAGGCCAAACAACACACAACAAACAACCACATAAACACAAAACCAAAAAGAAACAACCTAGAACTATAGAAAACAAAGCCTAACACTAAGACTAGAAACCCTGTACTTAACTGGCCCCCGGACTCATCTTAGAAAAACCTTAATGCTTGAATTGAAAGAACTTGCATCTTAAAAACCATTGGAAAATCTTGTAAAAGTTTAAGTTTTCTAACCAAGTCATTGCTCAAAAGTAAGTTCTTTCAAAGCCATTTCAGGTTAAAGTCAGAAATTATTAAGAAATTGCAGTAGGCAGACAAAAAGGATGGGTTTAGCAATTCAAAACCTTCTTTGTGCATTCAGGTCGTGACCTGAAACAGCTAGGTTGTAATATCCCAAAATTTCTAACCTAGAAATGGGGAAATATGTCACACCCTAATATCTTTAGCATGATTAATGAAGGAATTAGGGTTGACCAAGGCTAGGTGAGATAAAAGATAGATAAATAGTACAACAATTGAAGTGAGAATTGGAAAAGGACTAAATTGTCATTCTCAAAATGATTGGTCTATAAAGGGCATTATCCTAATTAGTGTCTGAAAATCCTAAAATTTTCCAATAAATCATAGAAAATAGAATTAATGCCGTAGAACGGTATTTGAGGTCTAGAAAGTAAATACAGGTTGAAAATAATTTATTAAAAAATCATTTTAATTATTAATATTCTAGCTAAATTAAGGAAAATTAGCCAATATTAATTATTAAAAATATCTACTTAGGAATTATGGAAATTTATAAAATTGTTTCGAACCCTAAATGATGAGGAGGTTAGCTTTAATTGAATTTAGAGCTAAATTAATATCAGTAGATTATCTGTTTTTATGGAAATGACAATTTAAGGAGTTGTAGAGGGAGAAAAATTATGAAATTAATCAGGAAAGTTTCCTTTACTGAGATATAATTAATAGTGAGCTGATATAAGAATTTTGAGATACTAGAATTTTTCAGCTATCAGATAAAATAAACTAGTACTATATTAAGACTCAGTGGATTATCAAGACAATCGGGGTGGTAAAATTTCCTACAGATTGACAAGACCACATGTCATGCCCAAATTGGCCAAGAAAGGGAAAGAGAAAATAAAAATAAAAAGGAAAAGAAAATAATAAATCAAGTTAGATCTAATTAGGGATAAGTAAGATAATTAAGGTTAAGCCATCTTCCATAAGATCTTGACACGTGGCAAACATGGTTCATTGGATGGCTAGGATTTAACCATCTCTCTTTGAAAAGTCAAAAGCTTCTAGAAGGGTAATTAGCCAAGTTAATCAAGGAATTAAGAGAGTTAACCTTGATTAAAGCCTAATTAATCTCAATAGATAAGAAGAGATGACATAAGCCCTAATGACTCATCATCCAAGTGTCAACATGCTAAGCCACATAGCCTAAGATTTATACATTTGGAAAGAGGTAAAAATTGGAGGGCCAAGATTAAGTCTTATGCAAGAAGGGCATATGTGGAATTAATGAAATTTAAAGCCTATAAATACCCCCTCTCACATGTTCATTTTGTACAAGACCAACTGAGTGGGGAACCTCTTGCAAAATTTCATTTAGAGAGAGAAAGAGAAGAGTTCTAGTGAGAGGAAGTCATTTGGAATCAAGGTAAGCTTCTACAACTCTTCTATTTCAAGTCATAATGGTGATATGTTGGTTTTAGGCTATTTTAATGATGATGGAAAGTCATTTTTCTAAGGGGAAGTGCTGCCCAAATTTTCTCAAAATGGATAAGAAGGGTTTAGGTTATGTATGGTTAAGATTAAGCATGGTTAAAGGTTAAGGATTAAGTGATTACATGTTAGTTTGGTTGAAAATCCTTTTCCCTATAATTATATATAATTTCGGCCAAGTCAAGTTCAATGGGAAGGGATTGGATTTTCATAAAACTAATATGATAAATAGATTCTACATGAAAAATTATATAGGAAAGGCCCAAGAAAGTTCAAGAATCAAAGCTAGAAAAATAAACCCTAAAAATCAAGAAAAATGGATTTAAGGGATTATGTTAAGTTATGAAGTTGTAATAATACTTAATGTTGTGTCATTGGTTGCCTAATAGCCTATACACAACAAAAGGGCAAAGATCTAGTCAAGAGGAAAAAGTTTAAGAGGGAGGAAAGCAATCAAGGTAGCTTTTGCAATTCATTATATTAGAGTGTCACCTTACTTTGTATGATTATGGCTATGTGTTTTGCTAAATTATTATGCTATGAGGTGGATGAGAATGTTATGTTATATGATGTTGCCTCTATGCAATTTATGCCTTGGCTTATGCTATGTTGAGTGCTAAGAATGTTATGATGATATGTCCTTGCCGTAACATGAACATAAAGTTAAAATACGCATGCATGTAGCTTGATTTACAATGTATTGTGTGACCTTGATAGTGTATGCAATTGCTAATAAGATTCCCCAAGAATCTTACCCCAATATTTAAACAAACCCTAGGGCCTTCAACAACCAAGGGCAAAGGAAAGGAGTTGGCTCTTACTTGAAGAGGTAGTAAGCCATAGTGACTTTGTATGGCTTTGAACCTTTCTATTTTGGAAGAATGTAATGTTAAGCATGTTTTAAGTTTCCAATAGCATGATTAAGGTTAGAAGTATACAAGTATGATTAGAATAGTCCAAGCATGTTAGAGATAGCTAGTATAGCTAATAAGAGTATGTTATGATCTTAAGTGGTCAATTAAGTTTAGTTACCCTTCTAAATTAGGTACAAAGTCAACTAAAAAGGATCAAAATTTGACCAATGACCATTTAAGTAAATGAGTGAGTTAGGCTATTAAATCTGGCAAAAAAAGAGTTCTGATTTTTGTAACACCTTACTTTTAACATACGTAATAGGCTCAGCGGAAGTCTTTGGAAGCATTTTGGATGGTCACAAAGTTTGGAAAACATAGAAAATTTTAACCCTTTCTCGGGTTACTATTCACTTTTGCTTAAAAGTGACCAAACTTTAAAAATTCATATCTTGAGCTACAGAACTCGAAACTGAGTGCTTCCAAATTCTACGGAAAGCTTATTCCATATCCTTTTGAGGAAAAATACTTTGGGAATTTATTTCCTTGAAAGTCAATACCAGTTTCGTTTTGAAAAGTTACTGTTCATTTGGTCAATTTTCCATTTTCCACTTTACTTTAGCCCAACTTTGGAAGGGCATAACGTTTTGTGTGGTTATCGGATTTCAGTGATTCAAATCTCATATTGCAGATAAAAATACAAGCTATCTGCTCACCGAATCCTAGGTCCTAACTCACTCGTATGTGGACTTTGACTTTGGTCAAAGTTTAAGCCTTAAAGAGTTGACTTTTATCCCCCTTGGAAGGATAAAGTCTCTCTTTGGACCTAGAGCTATCATACCATCATATAAGCATGCAAATAACTTCATAATAACATCTAGCATGCTTTTCTACCATGCATGAAGACATAAACCCTAAAACATACTTTAATTACATAACTTTGCAAATAGGGTTTTTCTATGTCTTCTTGAATTTCCAACTTCTTCAAGATACTTTACCTTTTCTTCTTGGCCACCTCTTTGCCCTTGCTCTTGGCTAGTGAAGGCCCTAGGGTTTTGTTAAATATGGGGGGTAAGATTCTTGGGAATCTTAGTAGTAATACATCACAATTATGGTTACAACTTAACATGTCATTTAGCTATGTGCAAACATACACATAAACATGTGACTTGCCATGGAATTTAAACACATAACATTATCATATCATGACATAGCATATCATCTCCATGTATCAACATCATAACATAAAAATCATGGAGGCATCATGGCATAAAATAAAGCATACATAGCATAAAATGAACATGTATGTAACACTTATAAATAGGATGTAAAACTACCTTTACTTGGCTCTTTTTCCTCTTCCAAACCGTGGCCCTTCTTTGAGGTTGTATAAAGCCTATTTAACAACCAACAATGCCACTTAGATCATTACATAAACCCCATAATTTAACTCTAGCTCAAAACCCTTTTATCTTGAATTTTGGCCTAACTTTCTTAACTTAATTCTTGAAACTTTTAAGGGCTAATCCTACATGATTTTTCATGTAGAATCCAAATATGGAATTGGTTTTATGAAATTCCATTCCCTCCTTAAAATTTCTCTAGGCCGTGACATGTAGGAACTTAGGGTTCCAAAATCCTTTTAAAAATTCAAGCTTCCAACTTTGCTTTCTTGGTGTATTTATACACAACACCATTCTCTAAACTCATTGGAAGCATCAATTAAAATCAAAACATTTTCCTTTGTAAACCCTACTTGGGCCGTGACATAGCTCAAAGTGAAAGGGAAGGATTTTTTTCATGAAAAGCTCTTTGAATTCTCTTGATTCAAGCCCTTAAACAAGCTTTAATCTTAACCTTAACCTTTTGAACTAACTTTCATCATTTTTAGGAATTTTGGACAGCACCTCCCCTAGGTTTTATCCATCCAAAATTCACCCAAAGATGAAGAGAAACTAAGAACAAATGAACTAGGGAAGAAGAGAACACTTACTTGAACTTTGTCCTAGCTTTTCCTCTTGGTTCTCTCTTCTTTCTCCCTCTTGGAAAAATTTTTCCATAGTTTCTCTTCTCTTTTCTCTTGTGCCGTGAATGCTCCTCCTTGGTGTCTATTTATAGACAAAAATTAGGGTTGAACTATTGGTTATTTGCATAAAGGTCCTTGGTGCAAGATTACATCCTAGCCTTTCATTTCGTCTTGATCTTGAACTTGGCTCACATCAAGCCACGTTTCAAGCTTTGTTTCCACTCAAGACAAGTCATCTTTCATGGTTCTAATTTAGCCACAACTCATTCTTATCTTAGTGCTACAATAGCCTCTTAATATGGTCACATGTTGATTTTATTACATGGTGGCAAATGAAAACACATTTCATACTTCCCTTCCTTTCCTTTCTCTTGATATTTTCTCAAGACAATCTTGCTCTTCAAGCCACTAAAAATGACGCCATGCACCTGTAGGGAATTGAAAGACGACGCGCAGCGGAAAAATTTTAATACTTTCAATCCCTTTCCGGATCTACCGTTCGCGTTTAAGTCAGGTAGTAAGAAGCATTACCTTTAGGCGTTCGATTCCCTGGTGACTTGATGATTCGGCCGTTCAGGATGCTTCTGCTCGCCTCCTGTGTCGTTCGAAGTCGACAACTCCGGTCGGCTTCCTCTACCGGTATCCACACGAGTAGCCCTCAACCTCGAACGGCGTGCCAGCGCCTCTGTCCGTCTAGGGTTTTAGGAATCCGTCCTCTCTCCTCTCTTTGCCGTCTCTTAGGCGTTGGTTCTCTCTTAGTTAAACCCTAGCTCCTCATACCAATATATAGGATGCTATATAGGTTTAATTAATAATATTTAATTTCGAAATTAACTCTAAATTAATTCCGAAATTAATACAATATCAAAATATTGCCTAATCAGATAAGAGAACAATTAAATAAATATGGTTTAAATTAAATCCGTCTCACAGATTTAATTCTCCTATTTATTTAATAAAGAGATGATGGAATTAATTTGTATATATTAATTTATCCTTATAAATTAAATCTAACAATTAATATCTTTTATATTTATATATATATATATATACACGAATTTATATATATATATATATATACACACACGTCCACCCTATATTATTCATTGAATCTGGACATATCTTAGATTCAATGAATCTGGACATCATAACTCGTGTCGGGCTATTTTGTGTGCGACCCTGTAGGCCCATATGAAGTTGGCAGTGGGCCATTAACTATGATGACCCACAAGTCGTAAGCGGTCTCTAGCAAGACATCACGACTACCCAAATCATATGAGGATCATTGAACGATGCAACCTTTCATACAACCATATCACGTCCCTTTTGTCTCATGACATTTTGGTCATGGATGAGGCATGGAGAATGTCATCCTCCTATTCATGACCGTTACTTTCTCGATCCCTGAGTAGTCTGAGTATAGAAATGGAACTACCTTTCCATTATAGTATGGCCATACATTTCTCAGACTCACTCATCGAGGGGCCCCAGTAATGTCTCTCTACGAATGTGAGGGACAAATTCCATCTTGACCATTCACATTCCTACGCATGAAAAACCACTAAGCCTGAACATAGTCTTTATGATCACTTGGTCAAAAGTGACTTTTGACTAGGTCAAAGCTAAGCGTTTCTCATGTATGAATCCATGATGATCTCAGGTCAAAGGGCACAGTGACATGGTTTGTATATGAGAGAAGCTTATGACTTAACCCATGCAGCTCTCTCATAGCGGGTCGGTCCAACACCTTATACTCTTACATGTGCCTATGACTTTAATTTATATCTCCATATATCTTTAAAGTCATACTGGTCTTATTTCATCTTTGCTCCCACATAGATGACCGACCAGGGACATTTAGGATAAACCATGAGTTATCCAAGGATAGTTATCACAGTAAACATGCAAATAATATGATAACGTAATTAATAAACTCATAAATTAACAATGTTCAAAACATAATGATTGGCCCCTAGGGCACAATTTCCAACAGCACCTCTCTTTCTTGCCTCTTTTGTTGACTTAATTGCTTGACACACAAAGAGACACAAAGGCTTAATTTCCTTGGTTACAAACTAACCAAATCTAACTTAATTATTTGGTTATAATCTAACCAAATCATAACTATTTCCTTAACCATAATTGGACCATAATTCATCATCTTTTCTTGGGCATTAAGTAATCATATATTTATGCCAATTTTCGTAATAATTATTAGGCATAATTTATGTCACATGATTTTATCACATAATGACATAGTTTGGCCTTAATTAATCAAGGTTAATTCCTTTAATTACCTTGACCAATTTTCTTAATCCTCTTTGACTTTTTTCTTAAAGTCAATATAATCTATTTTTGACCACTTAAATTCTCCAAAACACTTGTGGCACAAACCTTATTAAATTAATTAGGGATTAACTTATAATTAGGTTACAAAATAAAAGTCAACTCCCTTGGTCAACATTTTATTTTTACCTAATTTTTCCCTAATTATTTCATAAATCCATTTTCTTCATAAAAATCACTTTTGGGGTTTTATTAAATATTGTCGTACCCCAGGCTTCCGGACAATTCACTTATTCCTGAATGATTGTCCGTTTAATTTATCGGTAACCCGATAAAATCCACTGTCTCAAAAATCATATATCAGATCCCCGTAATTCTCTCCTTATTACAAGGGTGATCCATGATTTACCTGAGAATTTTCTGAACTCTCAGTTGCTCAGAAATCCCATTCCTGAGAAATCGGGCTTTCTACCGATAAGAATTCTACCGTAAAATCCATTATTGTACTTCTGCTCATCAATTTGGGCTGGAACCAATTTTTGAAATTACTATAATCCTCAAGGGATTTTCCATAATTTTCCCAAGAATTATTGAGGTCTCTGGGTATTTTTACCAAAATACCCCTAATTATTTCAGTCCAAATATTCGGTATTTTTGACTGTCCCGGAAAATTCCAGAAAAATTCTCATAATTCTTTTAGACCTCAAGTATCATTGTTTGCTATTTAGTTTCCTTTTTTCAGCCATTCTGGAAATATTGAAATTTCCATTATCCAATCTTATCAGATAATTTTCCCCTATCTACCAGTGTCCAATTTACACCAGCCAGATATTTTTGGGACTTTCTCATTATCCTTAACATTCTTCTCACATCAATTCTCCATTACGGGCTACTTCATTTTTGACCCGTACTTTCAGGGCTATTAGGGTTACAAAATTCGGGATGTTACAATTTTTCTCTTTAAAATGAGGGGTAGTTTGTCTGATTCCGATAACCGAATAGAAAGTTATGCCTTTCTAAAGTTAGGCAAAAATAAAGTAAAAATTTGAAAATGACCAAATGAACAGTAACTTTTTCAAAGAAAATTGGGCTCAAATTTCTAGGAAATCAATCCAAAAACTATTTTTCTCAAAATTTAAAGAGGTTTCCATAGAACTTAGAATCACTCAATTTCGATTTTTCTACAATTGGTTATAAATTTTCAAAGTTTGTCACATTTTAGGGTGACAATGAATAGTAACTTGGAAATGAAAATTCTCAAACTTGATTTTTCATCACTTATAGTCTTCAAAAGTGTTTCCAAATACTTCCACAAGGAAAGTTATTTGATATAAACATAAGGTATTACAGAGGTCACGACTTGAATTTCAAAATTACATAAAAACATAGGCAGACTAGAATTCAAAATCCAGTACATTCAAAACCAATTTCTTTCAACAATCTCATTTCAAAAACAGTTTCAAAAATAGTCTAAGCACAGCCCAAGCAGTAATTCCACACTCCACTCACTTAAAACCTAAACCTAAACAAAAGAAATCCTATCTAAAACCTACCAAACACAGAAAACAAGAACCAAAACTAAAGGAATCAAAAAGAGACTATAGAAAATACCTTGAGGAGAAGAGTGGATAAAGAATAGGCATGCATGGAATGAGAAAGAAGAGATTTCGAATTGTAAGTCGCAAGTCTACTAAGGTTAGAACTGGAATGGAATCTTCAAAGATGAAACAGTGACCAGATTTTTGGGGAAATTTGGAGTGTGTGGCTTGAAGGGTGAAGGATAAAAGCAGGTCACAATATTTAGAGAAGTAGGGTCGTGACTTCTGGAGAGAAGGTTTGGGTTTATGAAATTACAAAAAGGGTACTAGGGTTTTAAGTCCTTGCAGGTATCTAGATAAAGTCCAAGGTAGGTTCAAAGGGTAAACTGGTACATAGGCTAAGAAAACATAAGGCCAAAGAGGTAAATTCGCAGAAGAAAGTTCTGATTTTTCTCATCAGATCATGACTTGAGGGTATCTAGGTTGCGACTTTAATAAATAGAGGGGATTTTAGGGCTTAGACAGGCTCTAATTCGCAACCTCAGTTTACAGAGAGCCTTAAAATAGTTCTTCCCCACATCGCAACCCAGGGACAGTGACATCGTGACTTCATCTCACCGAGAGCCCTCCTTCTCATCCTAACCCCTAGGGCACGACATGAAGACCACGAGGTCGCGACCTGGATTCATAGAGAGCCCTTTGACCCTCTAAATCCTATTCAACCTCAAATCTATGCTCCTACACCATTACCACTCACCAAAATAATTATCAAAATAACCCAACTCAACAATCCATCACTAGATTTTCAACAATTCAATGTAAAACTCAAAAGCAAGTGATAGAAGATTAGGAAAACTGTCAAAGTTTTCAAAAAAAAAATATTGCAACTATCAAAACAACCCAACTCAGTAATTGTAACATCCAAACTTTGGGCCTAAAAGTACCAGAAATAGCCTAAATTGGATAGGCTACTAGAGCCCTTTTGAGCAGAAGTCCCAAAGATGAGAAAAGAAGTCAAAGCAGTTTTAGGGACTAAACTGCAAAGTAAAAGTTTTCAGGGGCTCAAGTATAATCAAGTTAGAGGCTCCAGTAAAGTCTCGAAGGCCCAGAGAGAGAAAAGAGGCTAGATACAGGCCCAAAGGTTAAGTTAGAAATCTCAAAGAGAGGATTATATGAAGCTAAGTCCAAGCAGGGACTAAACCGTAAATTCAAAAAGTTATTAT